GAGATGTACAATTTGGGACATGCTCAATCAGACTTGCCCCAAATGGTGGAGTTAGAAATGTGTCAGGGGATTCCAATACAATCCCATCAAGATTGCATGCACCAATGCCATCTCACTAGTCCAAGTGATCAATTTCAGTTCACAGTTGATCACACTGATAGGTCTAAGAGTCAAAGGGATCACACAAACAAGACTAGTGTCTGCTAATACTAACTGATAGAATCAAAAAGGGAGAGAACGATCCAACATGGGAAGTGGGATACACAGCAGACCCATAGAATGGCAGATGTCCTAAACAGCACTCTGGCCTCAGAATCAGCCCTTAAGGCATTCGGATCTGGCTGAAGAGCCCATGAGAGTATTTTAGGCATGGAAAGCCAAGACACTCTGGCAAACAACAAAAAACAAAACAAAACAAAACAAACAAAAAAAACAACTACAACAACAAAAACAAAACCTAAATGAAAGATCTCTGCGAGTGAGATCCCAGTAGAAAGAACGGGCCATCAAAGGAGAAGGTACCTTTCTCTGAAGGGAGGAGAGAACTTCCACTTTGACTATGACCCTGTCTAAATAAGATCAAAGTCAGTGAACTCAAGAGGCTTCCATAGCCTTGGAAACTCATGACTAGAGCCTAGGGAGATTTCTGACGCCATAAACAAGAGTGTCAAATTGTTAAGTCAACAACAGGAGTCATTGTGTACTTACTCCTCATGTGTGATCTCTGTCCTTAGTGTGTTGTCCAATATGAATTAATGCTATAACTAGTACTCAAACAGTATTTTACACTTTATGTTCTGTGTGGTGCACACTGATGAAATCTTTACTTAATATATAGTAAATTGATCTTCTGTATATAAAGAGAATTGAAAATGAATCTTGATGCAAATGGAATGGGAGAGGGAGCGGTAGTTGGGAGGGTTGCGGGCAGGAGGGAAGTTATGGGGGGGGGGAAGCCATTGTAATCCATCAACTGTACTTTGGAAATTTATATTTGCTAAATAAAAGTTGAAAAAAAAGTTAAAAAAAATATAGTTCCTAAAATTTGCTTTTTGGTGCTGGGTGATTTTAAAAGATTTCTGAAGAACTTATTAGCAATAATGAGGAAGCAGAGAATGTTCTGGTTTTTTTCTTTTCATGTTACCATTGGTTCTTTAAAGTGCACATCATGTTAAGAAATAAAACAGAGGCCAGTGGGTAAAGCTGCCTGCAGCGCCGGTTCGAGTCTCGGCCGCTCCACTTCTGATCAGCTCTCTGCTATGGCCTGGGAAAGCAACGGAACGTGGTCCAAGGCCTTGGGTCCCTGCACCCGTGTGGAAGAACTGGAGAAGCTCCCGTGCATTTAATTATATGCAAATTTTACCTAAAGTAATTCAAAAAGAAGTATCAGCATTTTTAGTTAGCAACACTTGTGCCAAGTGTTTATGTGTGTTGTGATGGTTTGCATGTGTTGTGATGGTTTGTAGGTGTCAGGTGGCCTGGATGACAGCATGCCTGCAGAGCTGGGACGTGTCACTGCTCCGGGCGTCTCCAGAGGAGCTGGGGTGCATCAGTGCGCCCAGTGGGGGAGCTCCACCCGCAGGGCAGGCAGCCACCTCGGGGTAGGTGGTCTGACCAGGACAGGTGGATTTGCTCTCTCTCTCCTGAAGCTCCGTCACCCTTCTCTTGCTCTTGGACAGCAGAATTCCAGGCCCTGTGCGCTCCGCACTCCGGGACTTGCACTGGTACTCGAGGCGTTCCCCGTGGTCCCCCTTGGCTCTCAGGCCTTGGGACTCGGGCTGAGCCCGGCTACCTGTTCCCACGTGTCTCCAGCTTGCAGATGGCCTGGTAAGAACCCCCTCGGCCTCCACACCCGTCTCTCACCGGGGGCTGCTCAGATGTTATCCGGATGTTCCTTCAGATGTTCCCGGTGCATATTGTCTCTCTCCTCCTTTATAGTCCTCTTCCACCAATCCCAACTCTGCTGCCCACACGCCGAGCACGCTGCTCTCCTCCAATCAGGAGCAGGATCAGCTCCTGCAGCTTATCAGTCAAACTGATGAGGCAGCTGCGTAGTTGTTTGCTCCCTCAGCGCCATATTGTGGGAGATCAGATGCATAGAATTAGTCCTAGTTTCAGTAACTTAGTCTAGTCTCAGTTGCTCCTCACAAATTTCAATTAAATATTGGCATGTCGTGTATGTGATACACACCGACCGTGGACTTGTCCTGACAGGTCTGACTTGAGGCCCGCAGCCCTGCTCAGAAAGAATGCACGAGGACATTGCTCTGGTTCTGGCTTGCTAAAAAGTCAAGGGCATCATAATCAGACGTACACTTGACTAACAATTTGCCTTCTGAATAAAAGCACATGCATTTCAATAACCCAACGGTGGCCTGGAAGGATGATGTGATGGTCAACTTCACGTCCAACTTGGTAAGGCTCTGCGGCCGTCATGGGTCCAGTACTGGCTGTGCTCGCCAGCGGCTGGTGTCTTCAGAACATCTGCGGACTCCGAGGGAAGCTGATGGCTGTCCAAGTGTGGGTGAGCCCCGTGTAACCACACGAAAGCAGATGGCTGTCCAAGTGTGGGTGAGCCCCGTGGAACCACACGAAAGCAATGGCTGTCCAAGTGTGGGTGAGCCCCGTGGAACCACACGAAAGCAATGGCTGTCCAAGTGTGGGTGAGCCCCGTGGAACCACACGAAAGCAATGGCTGTCCAAGTGTGGGTGAGCCCCGTGGAACCACACGAAAGCCTCAAGAGAGACGGCTGGGCCTCCCGAGACCCGGACCTCCAGGCGGCCTTTGGGGCAGGACTGCAGGGGCTCCTGTCGGATCAGTACCCCCTTGATTCTGCTTCTCTGGCGAACCTGGACCAACACAGGTGGCGAAGGTCTGGAGAAAAGGCGCGTGGGTAGCAGATGGCTACTCTCTCAGTACGGACTTGTGCACAGCCATTATCTGGCTTCTGAGTTAACGCTGCTGTAGGCTGAACGCTCTAAAAAATGTATCCAAAAGCCAGTACAAGCTAGGGTTTGGATGCAGCCCCTGAACTGGAGAGACACTGATCGAACAGAGTGTCTAAAAGGCGCTCCATTCACACCCAGTGTTGGATTTGCCGGCAAGGAAAACAATGTAACACTGAATAGTTTTGTGTCTATTTACCTCCCTTTGGATTTTACCCTAGTATTCTGTTCAGTGAGTACACATGGATAGGTAAAGTTAGATCAAAGCCAAATACAACGCCGTCATTACCTCCATGTAATATCTCCAACAGACCTGGGAGTTCCTGTCTACAGCTGCCCCTTCGGATTCCCAAGCTCATTCAAACTACAAGTTCCAGCAATCAGCACTTCCTAGACGTTTCTCAAAGAGCTTCCTCATCCCTCCCTCCTGGGTTGCAGATCCGCCTTGGATGTCTGTGAATGCACCTGGGTTATTTCCGCCGTCACTCTTCCTCTGGCTTTGTTCCGGCCTGCGGTCTGGCCTCACAGAGCCGAGCTGTGTCTCTCTCATTACTTAGATCTTCGCCACTTTGCTTTTATCAGCAGCGTTCTATTTCTGAATCCTAAGAAAAAGGCATTTTTAGTATGTAATTTTCAGCTGAATTAGAAGATAATTCTACCAATTGTGTTGTAAGTGGCAGCCTAGCATAGAATTACAGGATGTGGGATCTGGAATAAGGAAAGTTTTTTCTCGAGCTATATCTGTCACTTTGTTGCCTGGACTGAATGCACTCGGGGAGAAGCACCATCCCTCTACCTCAGTTTCCCCATCTCTAAGGCACAGAGAGGCCGGGAGGGGATCCGACCGGTAAGGCAGCGTCCGATGCCGCACTGATTGTAGCTCCTGACACAGGAAGCAGGGACTCCACAAACACCAGGGAGTACACAGTTAAATTACTATTTACTTGAGAACATAAAGTATTACTTCCATAAATTATTTCAATTTAAAAGATTCTTACCTTGATCAATCTAAATTTGCTTTAAGAAATAACTCCTTGAAGTATGAACGTGTACTGTTCATGTGTCTTCCAGAGATAAAGAAATCTCTGAAATTTTCCTCCTAGAAATCTTTCCTTCCTTAAATCTCTTTAAAGAGATTTTTCACTCCTTTCTAAAATTCTTGCTGCTGACCATAAGGATGAAAATAGGTGGTGAAGAACTGTGCCTACTTCTGGAAGAATCAAGGCAACCACTAGATAGCATCAATTCATTGGGATGGTTTAATAAGCAGAAAATATGCCCCCAGACTCCTGGTTCTCGTTAACACTTATTGAATATGCTCCTTTAAATAGGGGTTTGAGGACAGAGTTTAATTTTACAAAAGGCAATTTTGTGTCTTTTTCTCATTTGAAGTTCATTTGGATCCACAATTTCTATATCGTTACATGATTACAAAAATGCTCCACAGAATTATTTTCAAAGAGCTCATCGTAATGTTTCCTTTTGCTTTATTCATTCAGGAACCTCAGAATTAAAATTAACATTGCATAGTTTTGGTTAATAAATAGTTACGAAAAGTTCAGAAACAGGAGCGAAAATACGTGAAGTCTGGAGCACTTTCACTCATGATAAAAACATGCATTAACATTTTGAGTTTTGTAACAATGTAAAAATTTAATTTTTAAATTACTTGAAAAACTATGATTTCATAAAGTAAAATATACATTATTTTATAATTTAAAAATTGGCTTACCATCATTTATGTTTTAGGAAAATTGTGTGTAGTATTTTCAAAGTTAATAATGGTTTGTTAATCTGTGAAATTACACATTTTTTAAAATAATAAGCATTTAAAATAAACCACATTTATTTCCTGAGCAAACTTATTTTAATATCTAACTGCTCTAGAAGAAAATACATTCTAAAATGTTAAGTAGATAATGTGCTACTGTTATAAATAAGCGCTAATAAATGTTGATCTAGATCTTATCTCTGAGTTTTCCAGGGATGTTTCATCCGCTTAGCAATTCCAACCTGACAAAAGGCTTTCCGCTCCAAAGCCCCTGGAAGCTTTTTCCTATCCCTTGACTTTAATTAAGACCTTCCCTAAGCAGTGGCTCTCTGCTCTCTGTCGCTTCTGTATTGTAACGAGTCCCTAGCACGCGCCCGGGAGAGTGGAGGCTACCATGTGATGAGGAAGAGCTTCCCGAGGGAACAGCACACGTGAGTAATATATATAGCCGTGTTCATCCAGACCATATGGTCAGAAGATTCTTTCGGTGTTAAATTTCATTTTTAGGAAAGAGAAGGCCCTCTCCTTGTGTCTCGGAATGATTTATCCAAACTCACAGCGGCCAGGCTACTTGTAATGTTTACTATATTTATGCTAGACCAGATGTTTTACTAGAAGAGAGATCGCTTGGCTGATTAATCATTTTTATTTCCCTGTGGGATCAGATCGGGGCACCTTTCAGTGTATACCGTCACTGGGGGAAATCGCCACGCTTATGAAATCTGTGAACTTAGAAAAACCATCGTTCAACTCAATACGGTCTGTATTTTTCTATAGAAATAAAATTATGCCGGTTGGCAATTGTTATTTTTAAGATATTTAATTCTGTTACAACACTTTATGGAATATATTTTAAATAATATATTTGCAATTCATGTCCTGATAGATACGAATCACTGAGTTTTCTTCATTTACGATATACTCTAACAATCGTCAGCAAAGTTTCAACCCACCAGGCAGAAGAAGTGGGAACCTGGGCTGAGAGACAGCCTCCGGTGGTGTTCTGCAGACACTGTGTGACCCTGGCATAGTTCTTCTATTCCTCGCTTGTAAAGTAGGCATAAAGAGGCACACCTTTTCAAAGGCTTTCTCCATTAATCATGTGGAATGTCTGAATGATTCACTTAACTTGAGTTTCTTCTCACTAGCATTTGACTACAAAGGAAAATCAAAAAATAAAAACCAAAAAGCAATAGGAAAACAAACTCTTGGGTATAAACAATTTTAGATTATTTCATTAATCAGCAGTAAAGACCCAGAATAGAAACTTCCCTCCCCATGCACTCAGATTTTAATTTTGGTCCCTTCCTGGAACAAGCAAATTGCAGTCACTGCAAACAATGCACTTGTTCCAACACAACTCTGAGTGTTTGTGCTCAGCACTGTGCAGCCAGGCTCAGACCTCCAGGCTACAGCTGGCACCGCTCATTAGGGAGTTCCTGTCTATTGTTCTTGTTCTAAAACCACACAACCCCACAAGCTGTGTGTGGTGCTTCTATTCAGTCATGAAGTACATGGGTTTATCTATTCTCTGCAGTTTCTAAAACATTCATTACACAAAATGTGGAAGGAGAGCTCCTTTCAACCAGTATCAGTTAGCATTGACATTTCGATGTTTTGGGGATAAAAGTGTTATTAATTACCGGCCTTCTATTATATACAAAGAGTATTTATTTATCTTCTTCTAACGTTTGTATTGTTGAGCAGTTTTTACAATGCCTCTTTAAGCTAAAATAGACTCTCCTCAAAATATCCAAGTGTAGGCTCTCTTGAAGTTTTGGGTCCCTCTTGAAGTTTTTATATATATACATGTTTATTTAAAGATTTATTTATTTATTTAAAAGATTTATTTTATTTATTTAAAAGACAGAGTTGCAGAGAGAGGCAGAGAGAGAGAGAGAGAGAGAGGTCTTCCATCTGCTGGTTCACCCCCCAGATGGCCGCAGTGGCCAGAGCTGTGCCAATCCAAAGCCTGGAGCCAGGAGCTTCCTCCGGGTCTCCCACGCGGGTGCAGGGGCCCAAGGACTTGAGCCATCTTCTACTGCTTTCCCAGGCCACAGCAGAGAGCTGGATCGGAAGTGGAGCAGCCAGGACTAGAACCGACGCCCATGTGGGATGCCAGCGCAGCCCCTCAAGCCAGGGCCTCAACCCACTGAGCCACAGCGCCGGCCCCTGTTCATTTATTTCAAAGGCAGAGTTACAGAGAGAGAGGTAAAGATGGAGTTGGGGGGAAGAGGGATCTTCCATTTGTTGGTTCATTCTCCAAACAGCAGCAGAAACCATGGCTGGGCCAGGCTGAAGCCAGGAGCCAGGAAATTCATCCAGGTCTCTCACATGGGCGGCAGGGATCCAAGTACTTGGGCCATCTCTCATTGTTTTTCCAGGTACATTAGCAGGGAGAGGGATTGGAAGTGGAGCAGCTGGGACTTGAACAGGTGCCCATAAGGGGTGAAGGTGTCAGAGATGGTGGCTCGGACTGCTACGCCACAGTGCAAGCCCCTCCATCTTGAGGTTTAACTATTAACAGGGCAGAAGCTGGCAAGGCGGACAGCGGTCTCACCTCCACAGTGAGTGGAGGCCCACACGTTTCCCGAGGTTTTCGGTAATGAATGGGTGTGACTGGGACGGTGTTCCTGGGCTGCCACGTGGTGATTGAACTGCAGCCTTTCTTCCCGTCAGCAAGTGCCACACCTGCCTGGGCATTGGGAAAGAATTTTCTGTCTTGCTTTCCTTGTTGGCACTTTAGTTTCTTCTCTGAGACGGAGTCCCAGCCAACAATCAGCCTACGCGGTCTCTGACAATCAACCCAATTCACACAGTCCTATTCCCCAAAGTCAAATCTCCCTCGTCTTTTTACTGGGGTCCTTTTCAAAAATGGATCTGTTTTGCTGCCGTGAGCTTGGCTCAGAGCAGCCTGCTACTTCGGAGTGCCAGGCACTGCGCTCCACCCAACGGAGAAGACATCCGTCACGGTCAAGTCTTTTCCATATGACACAGAGCACGGCTCCTTGAATCCGGCGGCTCAGAGGAGTCACCCAGGACACCGGCCTTCCTCTGGGGTACTCTGATTTATGCGGCACGCAGAGCTGCAGAAACGCGGCAAGTTTGAAAAGCTCCCAGGAGATCGCTTTGGTAATCCAGACGGAGAGCCGCGGATTTAGAGCGTTGACTCCAGGCCTCCGTGAGGACCTGCGCTAAGCCGGGTTATGTCTCTGTACCCCGACCACGCCTGCTCTTCTTACCTGTCCCCCTGTCTGTCTCGGAGATCCGACAGGTTCCTGAGTTTATCTGAGTTTTGGCCGACATTGTGTTGTTTCTACTCTTGTTCTTGTCTGTTGTTTGGTTGGCTCGCTGGCTTCTGCTTCTGCAAGGTTATTTGAGATGAATAGCAGGAAGAATGGGATTATTTCAAAGGAGTTGTGATCAAAAGCTCGTTGCTGCTTCTGAGCCAAGATGAAAACACATCCCACGAGCTGGCGAGTCAAGGACTTGTGGAGATAAATCTGGAGATCATTTCATCAACAATCTCCAAAGTAATTTGGAAGGAGGTGTACAAGACGATGAATTAGCATGTGAACAGATATTGGGAAGTCTATTTATAAGAATGCATTGATAGGAAAAACTAAAAAGGAAGCTTTCATTGTACACAGCATGTGGGTTGAGATCAGTGCTGTCACTTAGGCCTTCGTTCATGTGGTCACCCCCTTGCAAGTTATGTGACAGGAGACCCCTGCCCGGTCGTGTAGCTTCTATATGCCGTGAGATGAGTGCTAATATTACATTTAGTGTTGTGACCATCAACATGGCCATGACTGAAACCAAAGACCTTAAATGAACTCTAATTTTGATTTACAGAGATGCTATTATGAAAATAACCAACACTTTCAATATTATGATATTTTAATTTAATAATAGCAAAAAAATACAGAAAAATAAAGTTTATACAAGTAGGACATATTTTAAATAACTGTCTTTTTAAAAATTATTTATTTATTTACGTGAAAGTCAGAATTACAGAGAGATCGAGATCTTCCATCTGCTGGTTCACTCCCCAGATGGCTGCAACATCCCAGCTAAGCCAGAATGAAGCCAGGAGCCAGGAACTTCTGCCAGGTCCCCCACGAGGGTGCAGGGGCCCAAGCACTCGGTCTTCTGCTGCTTTCCCAGGCCATTTGCAGGGAGCTGGATGGGAAGTGGAGCAGCCGGGACTCGAAGCCGCAGGCAGCTGCTTAGCTCACCGTGCCGCGTGTTGTCTCCGCGGACCGTCTGCTGATTAGGAACGGAGAGTGTTTTAGTTGAGTGTCTCGAGATGGTTTTCAGGGCGTCCATCTCCCGGGCGCTCCCAGGATCCCCGTTCCTGGGGTTAACACCCTTTCCTAGGCTTGTTTCCCTTGCACCAAGCTGGTCTTGAAACCAAGGGCTTATCCCAGCAGGACCACGACCGACACTTCCAGGCTCAGGCTACCCGCGCTGTGGCTTTGTCCCTGGAGGAAGTCTTCTGTGCTCTGAGCTGCGCTCTGCACCTCCAGAGGAACCGAGCAGGGCCTCCCGGCAGAGGGGAACCCAAGCCCCTGGTCCCACAGCTGCGTGGAGAGAGAGAGAGAGAGAGGAGAGATGACACCAGACCCGGCTGACCCAGGCTGAAGCCCAGAGCCTGGACTCTGTCCAGATCTCCCACATGGGTGGCAGGAACCCAGCTCCTTGGGCCGGGACATTAGCGGGCGCTGGATGAGAAGAGGAGAAGCCAGGACTCAAACCAGGCACTGATGTGTGCAATGCAGGTGTCCCAAGGGGTGAACCCCTTGTTGTGTTGGATGCCCACCCCTGTGTTTTCTTTTTTTTTCTTTAAGAAATAAAATGAAAAGGTATGACACATGTTCTTACAGAACTGCTCCCTCTCTCTCCCTCTTGTACTCAACTGAATTAGATGCCAGATGATTTGGGATCTATGTCCCTGGAAAAGTCACTCAAGTTAACATTAGTTCTTTATTTATAATATGGGACATATAATGCTTGCTGTTTATTGGATACTATTTGTCATTTGTCATTACAGGAGCCCTTTTTGGTAGCTATTTTTTTTTAAAAATAATTAATTCTTTTTTCTTTTATTTGATGGAGAGAGAGAGAGACAGAGAATGAGAATGAACCTTTCATCTGCTGATTCACTCCCTAAATGCCTACAGCAGCCAGCACTGGCCCAGGCGGAAGACGGGAGCCCAGAACTCCAGTCCAGACCTCCCACAGGGCTGTCAGGGACCCCACCATCAGCTGCGGCCCCCCAGGGCACACATCCGTAGGAAGCTGAAATCAGAAACAGAGCCAGGAGAGGAAGCAGGCTCTTCCACAAGGGATGGGGGTGTCCCAGGCCGTGACTGAATCTGCTCCCTGGAGAGCTATTGCTATCCCTACTTTTCATCTGAGCAAACAGGAT